ATGAGGCAGTTTACCATGGAAGTGGTATTCGGCGAAAAACATTACACAACAGGGGTAGTCGAATTCAAGGCCAGTCCGGGATGGCTGCAAGATCCCGAGGAGATTGACGAAATTAACAGGAGGAGAGCCTTGCGGGTTACTCTGGGCCTTGGTAATTTCCCCTATCAACTGTTGATGAGCAGAAATGTGAAAAAGCCGGTGCCAGCGGTTGATTTCGCAAACAGCGTTGCAAGTGTTGGCGGGCTGTTCAACCAGGAACAAAACATATATGTCACGCCCACAGAGTATTTCACCACAAAATACAGGGAAATTTTCACAAACGCAAAAAATCAAGCATACGATAGGGAAAGAGGCAAGGGCGTGGCTGGGAGGGCTAAACATGAAATATTGGCCGCAGCAGCTGAATATTTGCGCTACGGTGGGCCACCACTGGTTCTGGTATTTCAAAGGACATTTTGCTGAACATGCAGCTGACTTCCCAGCTAAGAGCATTATTCCAGTTCCACGTTTATTTCACGACAAGAAGAATTCTTTTCGAGGTGGGCGGCATCCAAAGTGTGAATGCTTTGCCGGGAGACCCGACCTTCAGCCAAACAAATAACCCATATGACATTTCCTCGTACAAGAGCATTTGCGCTTGTTCGGAGTAGACCCAACCACGGACATTCTTTTCACGCACGGGCAAAACCACGGACCTGGTTATGTTTACGTCATTTACGACGACGGAAGCTCTTATACGTTTAAAAAGTGGACCTATCCGCCGGCCACGTTGTCAAACCGTTCTAGTCAGCATTTTTGCAGACGAGCAAGGCGCGGGCCCGGGCGAGGGCAACACTCTTGGCTTCATGAGAAACGAGCAGGGCGCTGACAGACGGTTCGAATGTTTCTTGCCCGACAAAGCGAGCGGGCTCGCACCTCCAGGGCTGTCACGTTTGAACCAGTCCATAGAGGCCTTCGTGTACTGCGTTCTCGGGGCCCAAGTTAACGTGTGCAGCAGCATTCTCGACGATGGTGGCCCGGCGAAAGAAGCGCAGAGCGAGTTTCTCGTGTTGTTGGAGGACGCCGTCAGGCAGCCAGACCTGGCCAAGAGCGTGCAGCGCTACCAACCGGCAGTAGACCAAGCAAAGGTGCGCCTTGATTTGGTGACGGTACCAGGAGTATGGCTGATGCCCTCGCGCATACTGATACATACAGACAGAACAGCCACCTACAACAACAAGCTCAGGCAAGCAACTCCAGACATGAAGCTCGGGATAAACAACTGCGTGAACACAGAGACAAAAAAGACATGGCTGCGCCTCATGGATAGGGGACCACCGAAAATTAACCTGCCAAACACCCATCCTTCCAATCCAATCCAAAAGGCGGCACAAAAAAAAGGAGTGCCCACTTCTCCCACCACTTCCTTGCCACCCGATGCGGCCCCAGCGCCCACGAGCCACGACATAAACAAGGTGCTGATCGTTGTCAGAGCAGTTATTTTGGCAGGTCTGTTGGTTTGGAAGCGTTAACGGTTGCGCTTGAGAAACCGTTCAATCAGAAAGGCGACAACAGAAAGGAGATGACCTGCCCCGCGGCCTTGAAAATGAAGCTCACGATCGAGCTAATGAGGCCGGACAAAAGGGACGCTGTTTTTTTGCCAATCTCCTGCAGACCTTTCCCTACGCCTTTGCCCAGCGCTTTCAGAGAATTTGTTAGCGCCCCTATAACGGCACCAATGACAGTCCCGGCGGCAATAATGATAGTAGTGACAGTGAACCCATATTTTTTGAAGATTTCTTTGACCCTTTCACGAAGGGCCAAGGCTTCCTCTCTTTCTTGAATCTCTGTTCCGAGCCATGCATAGTGAACCCTCAGCGCCGGGCACTCAAGGGCATTCTTCTGCTCTTTATCGAAACCTAAACCGCCGGCGCCCGAGACTCTGAAAAATACATTAACGCTGACATCACCAAAGTGAACGTCACTGCGAACGGCTCGCCCAACAAGATCTACAACAACGGCATCGAGGCAAAGGATCTGTGGCGGGAGATCATCCGGTACTTTCAGCCCAAAGACGTTCCCAGCAAAACGGATCTCACAAGGTTTTACAGAGACAACAAGTCTGGGTTGCTCATCAATCTTCGACCTCAATGCACGGAGCGGCATCCGTCTTACTCTTGTAAACACCAAAGACGATGTGTTCCTTGAGATCGACCGAAAGACATCTGGCTCGGGAAATGTGAAATGCCATGTTTTCACAATCAGCGATTCTCAATAAACATCGTGGAGAAACAGCTCCTGTCTGTGCAGTACAGTGAAACCTGTATTAACCGGACACCGTATTAAGCGGACACCCTCTATTAAACGGAAAGTAGCCGAAGTCCCCAAATTTATTTCCCTTATTTACTTTAAATGAAACCTTTATTAAGCGGACACCTCTATTAAGCGGACGCGGACACCTAAAAAGTACCTGAAATGGTCATTTCTATTGTTACCAGCCCGTATTAAACGGACACTTGTAATTAAATTCCACCACCCAACTTGCCAGACACCGGAAATGCGAAAGATTGCCACCTACAAATTTTAATATTTTTTACTTGAAAAAAGGTGATTTGACGAACGTATTTGATTAGTTTCACAGTACAGTGTTGTTTTCTATTTCGTTTTGTTTGTATAGAGCTTGTTTCACTCATCTGAGTTCTTCAAATTTGAGTTGCAATCTATGTTTATGGTCATCAATTAGTCCCCTTTAATAAAGAAATTAATGCAAACGTATATTGCCATAGTCTCCGGGAGTATTCTAAACGTTTCCACTGTTCATTTGAATGGCATTTGACACCTCATATGACGTTATCTATCGAGACCTGTATTAAGCGAACACTACAGCATTCCCCGAGGGTGTCCGCTTAACACAAGTTTCACTGTATTAGAATACATGGACCCAAACAACACTCTGTTTAACGCCCTGATCGTGGGGCCCACAAACTCAGGCATAACACAATATCTTGTGGGAAAGCTGCGAGGTCCTTTTTGAGGCAAGTTTGACTACATGGTTTTGATATGCCCAGCCTTTCTCCACAACAAAACGTACGACGGGTTTGTGAATCACAACTCGCTAATTTTTGTCATCAATTGTCCGCAAGAAGAGGTCGAATTCTGGCTTAAACTGAGCAGCCATTTTTTCCAGGCCATGAAATCACTGATTGTTTTGGACGATTGTGCCGCCTCAAAAGACGTGAAAGGCCGAACAGGGCAGCTGGTTTCTCTCGGCTTTCCAGCCCTCCATGCAGGCATCAGCGTTTGAATTTTTACACTGCAGATCACCAGCATTTCAAAACCATTCCGTGAAAACGTGGCTGCCATTGTTCTGTTTTACACCCCTTCGGGCAAAACCATGAAAGCCATCTTTGAGGGCTACGCTGGCGAGCTTTCCCCGGAAGAGTACAAAGAATTGATTGCTGAGTCGAAAAGAGAAAAATTTCCTTAGCTGGTCTTCGCCCTGCGCTTCCCTTAGGGATCAAAATTTTCAGTTAAAATATACGGCATGTCTGAACAGGAGGCGCTCAACGAAGTCGTGCAAATGCTGGAGGCCACTCCCGACAGCTCGAGACCCTCAGATTTTCCTGTTGCGCTCCCTGTCAACAACGTTCCAGAACAACGCGAAAATCTGGCTGTGCTTGTTTCCACTGGCAAAACCGAAGAGGCACTCGGCGACCAACTTTCTCATGAACAGGGGAAACGCCTCCTGGACAAAGATGTGAAGAAATTTTACAAACGATATGAGGCCTACGTGGGCATCAAGACAACCGAGACCTTGATTCTTAATGCTTGCCAGCAAGGCGATCGGTATGGTCGTCAAAGTGAATGACGTGGAAGCTCTGCAAAAGGACCTGCAAAGAGATTTTGTGATTAAATCGACGTTATTCTCTGTGGCTGGAAATACGGCACTGTGCTGCGTTCATTTGATTGCGGTTGTCAACGCTGCTCTGATCACTGCCAGGCACATCGATTTTGAGAAAGAACCTGTAAAGGAACCTGCGAAGGAACCTAGACAAGAACCTAAACAAGACCCTTGCAAAGAAGCTAACTAAGAACCTGTCAAAATTTACACTTTGTAATATACGACATGGCTGAGAAATCGGATGAACCTGTTGCGGCACCGACCGATGCGCCTCAAGTTCCAGAGCAGGTTTTGACAAAAGAACCTAAAACGAAGCCGAAGACTGAAAAAACCCTGAGCGAGTTGCGGCTGGGAAAAAGTTAGCTCAGCCAAATCGCTTGGCACGTAAAGCAAAAAAGAACCAAAAACCGTTAGAAGCCCACGCTGAGGGAAAAAAGGAGCCAGAGAACCTAAGGGGCGGAGTCAACGGCTATTTGCTTCTTTGCGTTGGAGGTCTGGCTATCTCTGCTTTGGGTGTTTATTATCAGCGAGAGGCAATTATGGCCACCCTCCAGCGAACCCCGGCGCACGAGAACCAAAGCCAAAGCCCAAACCAAGCCGCAAACTTCACTTGAGAATTGAGATTTTTTCACATAATATCTACTATGTCCGACAACAAGCTTGCAACTCTGTTCTCGATGCCGCAACGCTTACCTGCCTGGCCGCCGGCCTTGGCGGGGCTTCGAAAAAAATCGTCAAAGAAAACCTCACTGCGGATCCCAGCGGCAATGCCGTGAACTACATAAAGTTTATATCGTGATGTCTGCCGCCATCGCTCTGAAGCAGTACCTCCAGGATCAAAAAATCCTCCCTTAAAACGTCTAAGTTTATATATAGCATGACAGGTGTTGCTATCATGGCTGGTGGCGCTGTGCTTAACGCTGTGGCGTTCATTGGCGGTAATTATCTTGCCCGTTTTTTTTTTTTTGGCGATGACACAAGGGCTGCCCAAGAAGAAAAACAAAGACACGATAAAGCTCTCGAAGCCTACCAGGCCTCTTATGCGAAATACCAGAAATAACGAGCATAGCTGCTTGACTGGATCGAAACGCAGCACAAAAACAAAGAACTGGCAAAACAAAACTTCACAAACACCGACTACGCTTTCAAGCTCTACAACTAGATGCACCAAGATGCACAGCTCACAGCGCCCAACGAACCAAAGTTCTCTGCTTCTACTAACCCAGCGCTCTGCAAAAACAAGGCAAACTGATTTTTGTTGGCACCGGCGCTCTTGCGCTCGGATACGCTACCTTGAGATTTTTATAAAATCCCGTGCAGTCAATAAAATCGTGCAAAACTTTTTTCGTTTTCCCCACTTCCGCTCCAAAAGAATTTTCAGGTTTTTTTTTTTTTCAATTCTGCATTTCAGGCGGCAGCTTGTCCCGCGGCCGGGCCGCGAACCGGAGCCATTGATGGACACGTCTTTGGTGTGCCAGTCACAATCCATTTCTGTTTTTCAGTTTTTTCATATTTTCAATATAACATGTACGCCAAGCTTTCAAAAATCTACTACAGCCCACAAGGCTACTGGCAAAGCGTC